AACCTCAACATGTTTTTGGACTGTGTGGGAGGAAGCCGGAGAACCCGGAGAGAACCCACGCTGCACGGGGAGAACATGCAAACTCCACACAGAAAGATTCCGGTGCCCCCACCGGGACGCGAACCGGCAACCTTCTTGCTGCGAGGCAACAGTGCTTGTTTTAGAACAGATAGTAAGGAAATAAATTCAAAATGTACTTAGTAAAATATGTTTCCCTGTATTGGTAACACTTGGGGGAAAAAATGTTGATTTAAAAAAATAAAAAATCAATTCTTATGCAATAAATAATTAAAGATTTTTTTTTTTCTTTTTAAAGATTTAAGCCATAACAATTTTGTTACACTTAACAGAGGACATTTTTGAGTTCTGTTTACTTCTAGTCGGGGTTTTGCTGTTTCCATAGAGGTGCAGGACTTTATATTGCAAACTGCTTGAGGTTTAGAGGGTTTAGGCAAAGTTTGTGAAGTTGGTGGAGTTAAAACACAATATGAAGTATAGAATTTAACTTCCAACATGACATAGAAGTAGGCGACAGAACTAATCACATAGGACCATCTGTCTACGGCTAAGTGAGCAAATGGCATATCTTAGGGATCAAGGAACCTCAATGCATCATGCAAGAATTTTTAAAAATCCAATATTGCCATACATTATTCCTGATGGTTGATTTGCCGGCTAAATCCAACCACAGATTTTAAAGTAAACACCGGGTTCTGATGGTAGACTAATTAATCTCACAGTATATTCTGCAATATCACCCAACCTGCTGCTGTCATTTTGACGAATCATCCAGATTTTCTACAGAAATGCTAAATCAGCTACATTAATTACTAGAACAATTCCCACTTGCCCTGTGCAGGGTCACTGGAAGCTGGAATTTATCCCAGCATGCACTGGATGAGAGGCGAGAGGGGACGGCCGGTCTGTCTGTTAGCAGGCTGCCACATATAGAGCATTTACACTCACACCCGGGGAGGCAAAGCGCAGGACCTTTTAGCTGTGAAGTAAACACTGAGTCATTGTGCCATCACAGTCAGACACCATTCAAATCTGTCCCTCCTTCCATAGCATGATGTCCGAATGCAGAAAACACAAACCATTTATTAAAAGGTCAGCCGGGTGACATGCACTTTTGTTGCCTGTTGCCAGGTAACGGCGATCGCCCGAGTTAAACCGGAGCATATTCACGTACAGCGCTGCATATGTTACAAGGTCAAAAACACAACGCTATGAGTTCCCTTTGAAAGCAGCATCAAAGAGTTTCCAACCCCGTGTCTTCGTGTTCACTTTCCTCCTTTTTCCAGGCTCCATATGTGTCAAGAAATCATTTCAGAGTCTTTTTGAATCAAAGTACCTCTTTTTTTTTTTTCTGTCCCTGTGAAATGTCAAAATGTTTTTGGTGAGTCATCTTGAACTCGGTGACGGTGACATAAATGTATTCAATCAAACAGCATTTTCGGCGCCAGCTAACACGCGGCCCGTCGTGTAAAAACCGCTGACTGGCTCCATGAGCGGCTACCAGAGTAATGAGAAGTGAGTGATTGGATTTCAGCTGTCAACCAGCTCGTTAACATGCAGAAATAATGTCGTTAAGATCTAAATTATTTATTATTTAACCTCTATTATCCTCTTCCTGGTATAAAAACACAAGTAAAGGAGGTTTGATCACAGCTTTATATTGTGCCACACCTGCTATTTTTCCACTTCAATCACATTTCAAAGATAAAACCCTCTAAATCCCTCCAACATCTATCATTTAA